AAAAACCAGAACTCATATATAGGTTACTCTTTTTAATGTGCTTTTGCTTCTTTCTTTCTTTCTTTTTTTTTTTTTTTTTTTTTTTTGTAGTACCAGGGATCAAACTTGGGACCCTGTGCTTACCAGGTAGGCACTTACGCAGCTGAGCTATATCCCCAGCCCATAATGTGTTCTTCTTTTAAAGAAATCTGCCTTCCAGGTAAATATATTCTAGTACAGTACAAATAACAACTCCTTTTCTTTTTTTGTTTTTGTTTTTGGTGGAACCAGGGATTGAACTCAGGCCTTTGTGCTTGCCAGGGAAGCGCTTATTCTACTGAGCTACCTCCCCGGCCCCAACAACTACTTTTCTAAGGAAAAAGAACCAAATAACTGTAATTACTCCAAGATAACTAATGAAATGAAATGGCATCTGTTGTGGTAGATCTAGGAGGTTCCCCTGAAACTGTCGTGCACTCTGGGGCCCTGGAGGTGCCGGGGCCACAGAGGCGCTGTGCTCAGGAATGGACCGTGGATGAGCTCTGGGGCCTCCTGGGCAGGTTGGGTGCGGATGGGGGTTTCCTGTCCGGTGTCCACCATGGCCGGTCCATCTATCACACTGTTCTCCTGTGCACAGGTCAACTGTGAGCCGAATCCTCTGCAAAGGTGAGCCAAGATAAACTGCTCCCTTTAGTTATGTGTGTTAGGAACTGTGACTCAGCAAGAAGAAAGTGATAAAAGAGCATCCAAGGAACACCCCAGATAATGTGTACAAACCCACACTGCATGAATCACTGGTCTATCCGTCACAGCGATGGTCTCTAACTGAATGATCCGCCCTGCTAGATGCCACAGTGAGGTCAACTGAGTGGAACTTCAGGGCCCACCTACCTGCCAGAAGTAAAAAGAAAGCCAGTACCCAAGACTGCACTCGAGCCCCTTCCAGTGAATGTCCAACTCACTAGGAAATCTACAGCAGGATTCAAGGATGTCTTAGTTACTCTTCTCTCATTGCTGGGACAAATACCCGACACTCAAAATGAAGGAAGGAAAGATTTATTTAGCTCACAGTTACTGGAGGGTTCAGTCCATATGCATCTGGCTCCAAGGCAGAGCGGCACATAGCAGAAAGCAACTTTTCAAGGTGGCGGCAAAGAGCAAGAGCGCAAGGGAGGGGTAGCAGCAGCTCAAGCAGCTGGCTTCTCTTCCACCTTACATTGTAATGCAAATTACCTGCTCCAGGGTAGGGGAAGTACTCACACCTATGGGTACTTCCCAGTATTTACCCACCTATGGGTAATCCCAGCAGTACTAAAACCCATAATCCCAGCCTTGGATCACACATAATCCCAGTGGATCACGAGTTAACACAAACTGTAGAAGTCCTCACCCCATGACTGCATGAGGCTTTGGGGGGACAATTAGACACAAACCATAACAAAGGGGGCCTACCAGGGAGGCTGAGGCAAATGGGGAGACCCACACAAGACTGCTGAAGAGCAAAGAGCCCCTTCTGGAATGATAACAATGTTCTGGAGCTGACTGCTGCAGGAATGGCTGCAGCTTTGTGAACCCACGAGGTGCACACTTTCACTGGGTGGATTTATACAATGTGACGTTTATCTTAACGAAGCTGTCACCAAAAAACAGTGAATAGTTACTGTAGTTAGTTCTCTATAAACATGTGTTCCCTACAGAAATTAAGAAACTGAATAATTCATGTTTAAAATGAGATGTTGGCTCTAAAAACATGACATTTCCAAACAAAAAACACAAAAAAAGGACTCATTTGATGAGTTTGGTGCATTACAGAAGAGCCAACTGTCTCAATTTCTTATACAGAAAAAATGACAGACTCATTTAAAACTCAAGTGACCATGTGATTCCCTGATTCCAGTAAAATCCATCAAACCCACAAAGATTTTATTACTATGTGTATTATAAATATGCGTACTGGAACTTCACTTACAGTTTTGACTTAACTTCTCATTCTGAAATAATTTCAGGTTTGTAAGAGTCACAAGAATAATATAAATAACTCTCTGTATACCCCTAAATCCACATTCTCTAAATGTTAAGACCCTTCTCCATCTCACTCTCAGTGATTCACTCCTCCTGACTAAAATGACACCAAAAAAGCAGCAGAAATTTTTTAAAAGTATGTCATTTCCAAAAGTTACAATCTTTCTCACGAGATGGGGAAGATTAAGGAATCAGCCCGGCCCTTACCAGAAATATACTATCTTAATGACTGCTCCCTAGTTAATAACTAAATGGGGAACTAAACTGTTCACACAGCTCTAATGCACTGTCAGATACTGATCAGAAACTGTCTTGTAGGGCTGGCGAGATGGCTCAGCAGTCTAAAGCACCTACTTAGAACAAGCTTAGCAAAGCACAGGGACCGCGGTTCAATCCCCAGCACCACACGCCAGCCAGCCCCGCCCCCTGGTGGGCTGAGCTGGCCACACACACACACACACACACACATAAAAAAAAAAAAAAATAAAAAAAAAAAAAAAAGAGAGAGAGAGAGAGAAACCGTCTTGTACACGTTGCAAGCTAAGGAATCAATCTCTCCGCAGCTTTAGGGCAAGATCCGGGAACAAATACAATGCTGTACTTGCTTGTGCTCAGAAAGTCCCTGGCACCACGGGCACTGAACCACGGCCTGGCCAGCTTTCCACTTAGCTAAACAGCAGCAGGAAGCTCTGACCTCCACAGTCTGAACGCCCCGCACACGAGCGCTGAGCACCTCCACCCCCCAGTGGGGCCCTGGGAACGGAGACGCTGATGCGGATGGAAGACACACAGCTAATAAGGCAGAGCGGAAAGCAGCTGGAAAGGAATTATAACTAAAACACACTGTAGTTCTTATAGATTATCCAATCCATTTCAGTCATTCATTGTCAAGGTTGTATGACACCCTTACCTCCATTATGCTGAGACCACAGCCTTCATTGCTGATATTGTCAATATGGGATTGACTACCTGGAGCACTTTAAAAATATCTTTTCTTTTTTTTTTTCTTTTTCTTTTTTTTTTTTTTTTTGCGGAACCGGGGATTGAACTCAGATCCTTGCATTTGCCAGTCAAGCACTTATCCTACTGAGCCATCTCCCCGGCCTAAAAATATCTTTAAAGTTTAAAAAAAAAAAAAAGGAGGAAATCAAATCTTCAGAGGACTGCAGCCCTGGGTGACATCTGTACATCAGCCATCCTTAATTCCAGCCCACAGGAAGAACCATAAAAAGTGTACTGTGGGGCAGAGGAGCGGTTCAGCGGCCCAGCACATACAAAATAGCTACAAGGCTCTGGGTTCAACTGCTGTCACACAAAACAATGAAAATAAAGGCTTGTCAGTTTGAGCTGCTGCAGCCAGGCAGCATGAGTGCAGCAAAGAGGTGGCTGAGTCAGGACGCGACCCAGTGGCTCAGACACCTGCAAGCCACATGGTTACGTACCCAAGCTATAGTTTTTCCAAACATCACATTTGTCCCCAAATGCAAGCTTACATAAATGAAGCAGCACAGTAAAAATGGTTCTCCGCCCTGACACACAGGAAATCCATCTGTGTAACTTCTAAAACCCTGAGATCCCTGGTGTTTCGCTCTCAAAGATGAGGCAGGCCAGGAGCCTAACCCCAGGGAAGGGGTCTGCATAACTCTGAGTCTTCAGAACTGGCTGAAGCCATTTTCAGAACTAAGATGAGGATTTATCAGTTTCCATTCACTAACACTTCAAGGCAAAAAGGTTTTATTTATACACCATCATTTTTACCAAATAATTATACACAGAAACTTGATGTATAAGTCCCACCACAGCTTTTGCTTTCGGCACACGTGATCACCTAATGCGCCTTGTGGCTGAGCACCTAAAAGCCAGCAGCAAGTTCTGTTAGTCCACCAGTCTTCTCCTTAGTCACAGCCCAAACGCCAACCTCAAGCAGTGATGTAGAGATTGTAAAATAGACTCACATGGCTGAAAAGACAAAGGGGCTTAAGAAATCACCCCATGTTGCCTGCAGCCTACCAGGCCCAGCAACGATGTACAGCAGAAGTGAGCTCCAAAAGCCCACGGCCGCACAACCTGGCTGGTGCTGCTCCCCAGCGCCCTGCCCACGGTTGGCCACACTCAGTCTGACCTCTCCCACCTCTGTGAACCTCACTGCCCAGTTTGCCTGCGCCGCCCAGTGGCTAAACTGAAAAATGCAAGTCACCAACAAGCAAAGCACCAAGCAGCTTCCCTTAAGGGGGTTCCTGATTAAAATAAACCACTGGAACAGGAAATAGCTCAGCTGGGCAGCTGGGCTGCTGGACAGCCGTTTCCTCCATCTCCTCCAGTGGCTTCCCGGTCCCCATCACACACAACTCGACGTCTCTGCTCCCTCCACAGTAGCTGCCAGAGTCCCCTGAGTGCAGTCTCTGTCTAGGAGGAGGCCAGCACCCCTAACACTCCAGGAACAACTCGAGAGCCTTTTCTTATTTACCTTTGCATTCCCAGCCAAAAGCACACTGCCCCACAGAGACGATGCTCAAAAATTTGTGGGAAAAAAAGATTAGAGCTTTTGGATATGCCATCTGTGGTGGAACCACCACCAAGACACAGATTTTCGTTAAAACCCTTACGGGGAAGACCATCACGCTTGAGGTTAAACCCTCAGACAGTACAGAAAATGCGAGGGCCAAGATCCAGGATAAGGAAGGAATTCCTCCTGATCGGCAGAGGCTGATCTGTGCTGGAAAGCAACTGGAAGATGGGCGCATTTGATTTATTTGTGTGTGTGTGTGTGTGTGTGTGTGTGTGGCCAGCTCAGCCCACCAGGGGGCGGGGCTGGCTGGCATGTGGTGCTGGGGGATTGAACCGCAGTCCCTGTGCTTTGCTGAGCTTGTTCTAAGTAGGTGCTTTAGACCACTGAGCCATCTCACCAGCCCCAGATGGACGCATTTGATCTGAGTACAACATCCAAAAGGAGTCTACCTTCCATCATGCGTTGAGACTCTGGCGGGGCTGAGATAAAGTCCATCTTACACCACTCCCAAGAAGAATAAGCGTAAGAGAAAGAAGGCTAGGCTGGCTGTCCTAAAATACTATAAGGCGGATGAAAATGGCACAATTAGTCCTCTGCTTCATCGAGAGCACCCTTCAGATGGGGGTGGTGCAGGGGTTTCCACGGCCAGCCACTTCGACAGACATTATTGTGGCAAGTGTTGCCTGACTTACTGCTTCAACAAACCAGAAGACAAGTAATTATGAGTTAATAAAAACTTCAGCTAAAAAAAAAAAGAAAAAGATTAGAGGACCACCCGCTCAGGGCCCCCTCTCGTCCCTCTCTGACAGCTTTCTTTCCCTCAATAAAAATATTCTACTCATAAAAAAAAAAGATTATAGAGAAAACAGAACACCAGGAAAAGGGACGTTAAAGAGCAGGTAGAGAAAGGAAAAAGCACAAGACATTAAATTGAGACTCAGGAAATAATCACCCACCGCCGGCCACCAGCTAGCTGCAGGAGCAGAACTCACTCACCCAGCCCCGTTTCTCCCACTATATGATTACTGGACTGCAGTTCCTGATAGAAGATCCCACAATCTGTAAACTAAATCTCAATGCTTTATACAAATGACCATCATGCTTATTACAAATCCCTTAAGGAAAAAAAAACTTGTTTTCAATGAATTTTAAAAAGCAAAGCCTATACTAGACTCAACAGATGTCAACTTTCCTGTGTTTTTTTTTTTTTTTTTTTTTTTTTTTTTGGTGTGTGTGTGTCTTTTTTCTGGCCTTGAGCTCATTTTGTAACCCAGACTGGTCTCCAACTTCCCCTGACCCTCCTGCCTCAGCCTCCCAAGTACTGGGATTATAGGCACGCACCATTCCCAGAATTTTTTTAAGAAATAGGGTCTTGGCTATATTGCCTAGGCTGGCTCAGTGGAATATGCGCTTCCCTGGCAAGTGCAAGGGCCTGAGTTCAATCCCCAGTTCTGCCAAAAAGAAAAAAGAAAAAGACCTCCTGGAATCAAGGGATATTCCTCAGGCTCCTAGCAGCTCCTGTACCCAGGTACAGTCCATTGTGTCTATCTACTGACCTAATAATTTTAGGTTTTAAAATTTTTCTATAGTTCCATAGTAGATACAGGCCATGGAAATGGCATAACTTAAAACATCTTCAAATCATTCCAGAATTATGGAGGCCTAGCCCCTCCCACCCAGCCAGAGTTCTGCTGAGCCTGGCGGCCCAGCCTCACCGCGATGACCACCAGAGAGAACTGGCTACCACAGGGACCTGCAGGACACTTGGGGAACCCTACCCTGCGCCACCCCACCACCGAGACAGCCTTGCAGAACTTCAGCCTGCACCCATCGTCATCGGACCCTTCTTCAGCTGCAGCTGGCCCCTCTCCCCTCAGTGAGGTGGAAGCCACACTGAACCCCACAGAGCAGGAGCTTCGGTGAGCCTACCCTGCCCTCCCTCCCTCCTGAGAGCCTTGCTCACCAGCACCCTGCCCACCTACCACTGCTGCAGAGTCAGGATGAACACTGGGGGCTTCAAAAAATGACAAAAGGAAGGAGCAAAAGGCAATCTCAAACTCTAGCCCACCCAAAACAAGCCCAGGAGACAAGGTCATAGAAGAACCTGGAAATAGCACACCTGGAATTTCTGAGATGACAGCAAGTGAAGTAAAGAAACAACTCCATCAGGCTATGGAGGAACTTAGATCAGAAATATTCTCGCAGGTAAAAAAGGAAACAACAACAATCATGAAAGAACCGCTCAATACATCTAAGGAAGACACAGATTTATAAAAAAAAACAAAAACAAAAACAGAACAGGAAAAGGATGGAAACATTGAGTAAACAATACAGGAAACAACCAGTATTATGGAAAATCTCTGCAAGAAGTAGTAAAGAACTAGAGCTGCTAACGAACAGAACAAATTCCAACCAATCATTTGGTAGAAATAATCCAGGAAAGCCATTCATGCCAGGGCGTCAGAGGGAAGAGGGTTTCGGGGCAAAGGCGTGGCACAGATCAGGTATGTGAAAGAGAGTTCTGCATCTCGGAAGCCTGAGTTTGAGACTCAGCAGAACCGACCAGCTCAGGCAGGGGAGAAACGAACGTGAGCTACAGCAGACTTAAGAGGTGTCATGCAGACCCAAGCCTGGGCAAATCCTGCAAAGCTCTGTGAGATTGCAAATCTTGGTCCCTGACAAATGACAAGAAAAAGCATTCTGGGAGTAGAGCTCTGACAGCCTCCTCTTCAACCTTCTACATAGTATGTGTATCTCTCCCTTTAAAAAGTAAGCCAGTTCCAAGGAGAACCACGTAACAGTCCCTCTCAGGACTCGTGAGGAAATGTGGCTTGGGCTTTGCTGTGTTTCCGTGAGGCATACGTGGATCGAGAACCTGGGCAGAGCGTGGGTCCCACTTGCCCAGACACGTGCACTACATGGGTTCTCTCACACTACCACTCCCTGGGACAAAAAGCCCGCTCCACCAACGTTAACTCTGAGAGTGGAGCCTGCTTCCCAAAGACTCAGTACAGTCATTGAATTGTGGACACATTTTGTACAAAATTTGTTAGCTTGTGTCTTTTTTTTTTTTTTTAAACTGGGAACCAAACTCAGGACCTTGTGTGTGCCAGGCAGGCACTGTGCCGCGGAGCAATCTCTCTGGCCCTAGCTTGAGCCTTTAAGTCGATGGCAATTTGCTTCATACAATTTCTGTGACACAGCAGGAAAAGCACTTTCTTATTAAGTGAAGAGGTCTCCGTATAAGCACTTCCACGTTTTATGTCATTTCTAGGTTACAAATGGGCCCGGGCTCTGTGATGATTCTTTCCATACACACGTACCAAGTACCTAAGGGTTCCAGACACAAGCAAGCAAAGGTAGTTTTATCTGGGCTTTGACTCCTGGCCCGCTGTGACGTTTAGTAAGTGCCAGCCTGCTACAGGCTTTTCTCCAAACTTCTGCAAGTAACTGCAAGAGTCCCTACTACACAGGCAAACTCTAATTCTCTTAACCAAGAAACACAAATGGACAAATCGTGTTATAATCTAATGAGTCAGTGCTTTTCTCCCCCCAGTTCGACCTAGCCGATGCCACTTGTAAATAACATATAAGGAAATCCATCAACATTAGCATATGTAGCTGCAGCTGGTCAAAAATCACTGTATTTTCTAAAACCTTGGTTTGATTTAAATCTTGACTATTAAAAGCTCCTGAGCTTAAAGACCACAAGACACAATAAATGAAGATCTAGCATCTTTTCATAAAACCCAATGCTCTACCAGTTGTTAACTCATCCATTCATTCACTGATTTTTAAAATTCAATGTTTGTTAAAAGCTGGGAGGCTGGGAAGATAGCTCGGCAGTGTAAGCACCTGCCTGGCAAACGCAAGGACCTGGGGTCGATCCCCAGCACCACATTCCATGCTGGTTCCATAACCCTGGGGGCACCATGCCAGCCTCTGAAACCAGGCAAAGCGGCACATGCCCGTAACCCCAGAACCGGGGAGGCTGAGACAAGAGGATCACTATGAGTCCCAGCTGCACAGTGAGACCCTGTACCAAATAAATAAAAGGTGTTTAAAATAGTAAATCTGGGGGCCGAGGAGATGGCTCAGTAGAATAAGCGCTTCCCTGGTAAGCGCAAAGGCCTGCGTTCAATCCCCAGTTCTGCAAATAAAATAAAATAAAATGTTGGATGGATACAGGGCACGCTTGTAATCCCAACACTCTGAGCAGCTGAAACAAAACAACTAAAGCTCTGCCTGAGTGACACAGACACTTAGCAAGACCCTGTCTCAAATAAAAAATCTCTGGATTGGTCTGTAATGTAATAGTTGAAGAATATGGTATCACTTAAGGAGACACTAATTCCCGGTGCTGAACCCAGAGTCCTAAACGGTTGCTCTTAGTGTGAAGTTTAATCCTCACTATTGAAAAAATAAAAAAGTTAAAAAGTTAATAAGCAAAACTGTGGGGCCGGAGGGGAATACAGGAAAATATGCAAGCTTTCTGCTTAATGTCAATTTTTTCTGTAAACTATAACAATGTTCTAAACTTGATAAAAAAAAATTCTGTCCTCAAAAATCTTGTACTGTATCTACTTCTAAGGAACAGTTAGCATAAACAAAAATTAACAGAAGAAATGCAGTGTCAAAAACCACATATAAGAAAAACCATACAACTACACCATCATTTTGAGTAACTACTACCAGCAGGGTTTCGCTAGGGTCCCTGGGCCAAGCCCCTTCCTGGGTATTCCTACAATAGCCAGGACGTCCCCAGTCTGATAGAAGACCTGAGACAGAGACAGCGTGAACAAGTCACATCCTGAGGTGCTGGCCTGCCTCTCGGGCCTTGCTTCCCCCTTCCTTCCACCTCCCACCTTCCTTTCCCCTCCTTCCCCCTTCCTTCTGCCTTCCACCTTTCTTCACACATTATTACTGAAGTTGTCAAAGGCAGTGAGACTCAATAAATGTACTGTTTATAAACTGGAAATTTGCTTAACGTAACCAAAAAAGATCATAATTTCTCCTGATTTCAATCTCTGTTAGCTAAAACAGCATGCAGGATCCCTCATTTTGTTCCACACGCCCACCACAGTGGTGGGCGAGCCATAACTCTGCCACCCTGGATTTACTTAAGCACTATAAAATAATACGTATTTGAAATGCTGAATCAGGATCTTCCCCTTGCTATGCTCTTAACATGGGACTCTTGCAGTAAAACACACTGCCTTTAGACATGTAAAGAAAAACCCCAGCCAGCATCCTAAATTACTGAGGGGTAAGATAAAACTAGAAGAAAAAAAAGGAAAAAGTATTTATAAACACAATCTTTTGTGGTCAACATAAACACAGCTTTAGGGCTACCACACCCCAAAATAACTTGTCTTTAATAAAAAGTCTCATCGCACAATTACTAGGAGGTAATCTTAACTCCAGCTTGTTTTAGGTAACAATCTCCTTAAAGGAGAATGGAATCATAAACACTACCTCAGAAAACTGAGTAGTTTTACTGTAGAAGTTCACAAATTCTCTAACCCAGCGCTCCAGATTTAGGCTAACCCTAATCCTCACGCCAGTGTGTGTCTGCAAAGAGCAGTTGTCCCCTGACGCTCTGGATTGGTCTGTAATGTAATAGGTGAAGAATGTGGTGTCACTTAAGGAGACACTAATTCCCTGTGCTGAACCCAGAGTCCTAAAATGTTGCCCTAAAATTATCATTTCTAATATTTCTAAATATACCA